GATGGTGGAAGCTTTTGAGATGCATGTGTGCGGCGCGAAGGCGATAATCATATTTTGACCCTCCCCTTCCATCCGTGTAACTCTTGGACGTTTCAAGCTTCGGGGTCACTAGCGGGGAACACGTCTTAAGCTAAACGCTCGGCCGGCCTTACCGACACGTCTGGTGGTAGACGAGCAGGAGTTATATCTGAATATGTGTTGTTGCTGCTTTGTTTCGGCGGGCAGAACCCCACCCTGACACGTTGATTAGTGAATTGTCCGTTTTCGGTTCTCGAGAGGGCGCCGCGGCCGTCATTTTTCAGGCTTGCGCCCGCCAGGTTTAGGCCCGAGGTCGTTTTCACTAAACCACGTTTTACTAAAGGGGGTTCTGTCCATCCCCGATTGTTTTGTGTGTATGTGTGTGGGTCTCTCTCTTTCTCTCTCTTGTGTATACATCTGTGTATGTATATATAAATATATGTGTGTGCCGGTATATATATATACACATACACGGAAGAGGGATGGAGGAAGAGGAGTACGACGAGGACGGGGATGTTGAGGAGGACAAGGAGGTTTAGGATGGCGAGGAGGAGAACGTTGAGGAAGAGGAGAAGGAGGAAGAGGAGGAGGAGGAGGAGGAGGGAAAGAAGGAGGAAGAGGAGGTGGACGAGGAGGAGGGGGCCACCCCCCTGTTGCAAGCGGCACCTCAAAAATGCCCCGGGTAATAATCTCCGCAACTGCAATTCTCACCAGGCGCCACCGTGTTCACTCCACAGCCACCTCCACTGCCTGCCAGTTTTTTGCACCGCCAACCTGCCACTAGACGCACGCTTCCTTCCTCACTTCCTTTCCTTTGCACCTCCCGCCGCTCCGTAGCCGCAGCCGCGAGCCGCCACCATCCCAACTGGGAGGCGGGGTGGCAGAGGAATACCAAGGTTTCAGGCCGACTCGGTGCTGGCCAAGGGCTACCGCAACCCCTGTCCGCAGTCAACAGAGGGCATTTCAACAGAGGGGGACCTTGGGCAGCCTCCAGGGCGGTGGCCCAACAGGGCCACGCGACCCAAAGGAGGGGGGACCCTACACACGCCCTAGGGCCTTCACCTGTGCTTCAACCTGCTGCCGCCACAGCTTTGCTCCAGCCGCCTAACCCACCTTTTCGTTACGACTTTGGTGTTTTGAGATGATGTTATATTGTCTCCCCTCCCTCGCCCCTCCTTCCTGTCGGTCGGACTTCGCGCCCCCAATCTTCTACTTCTACTTGTATCTCTACTCCCCCAGGGCTGCGGCAGCGTGCGAAGCACCCTCATGCCAGCAGGAAGCCGCCGCCAAGGCGCTGGCTGTGCCGCACTGGCAGTCTGGAGCGAAGATGATGGGCTGCACGGTGCACAGAGATATGGTGCTGTCGCAGGCTGCGGCTAGCCGGCCCGAGGCAAGGATGGACCTGATCGTCCACGCCCCCCGGGTAGCCGTGCCCATTCTGGTGGCCACTTCGCAATTGTCAGCGCGCTGTCCCAGGCCGCTCTGGAGCGCGGGTCAGCCTAGCGCGCCAGGGCCGCGGCCGCGGCGGCCGAGAACGACAAGCGCGCGCGGTACCCCGGGCTGAGAATGGTCCCCCTCGCGTTGGAGGACCACGGCCGGCTGGGGGAGGACGCCTTGGCATTAGTGCGCTTGCTAGCTCCGCCGCCTGAGGACAACGGGCGGTCGGCGGCCAGCCGCCGCGTGCACCAGGCGCTGGGCAGCGTGCTCCAGCGACACGACGCTGACGCCGTCCTCGCGGCGACGCAACACAAGGCCCTGCGAGGGGGCCGTGGGCGAGGCGCTGAGCGCGCTGGGCCAGCTGGAGGAGCGCCGCGGCGGCGGCGACTGCCGCGAGGTGGCCCTGCCCGCGGCCCGGCGGCGCGGCGAGGCCGGCGGCGGGCGCCAGGTGGCGCGGCGAGCTGCTCCTGGCCAGGCGCGGGGGCGCGCGGGGGGCTGGCGCCCGGGCTCGCCGGGCGGCTCCTGGAGCTTCGCCTCGGCAGCGGCGGCGGCGGGCACGGCGCAGCGGGCCGCTGCGCGGCGGGCTGGCCCGGCCGAGGCGGGGGGCGCCCAGGCCGGGCCCCGGCGGGCGACTGGCGCGGCGCTGCGAGGGGGCGGCGGCGAGCTGGCGCAGCTGCCCGGGGCGCGGGGCTCTCCTCGCGGGGCGCTGCGGGGTCCTGCTGGGCCACGGCCTTCTCCCGCGGGGCGCGTGCGACCTCCCGAATGCTGGCAGTCTACAGGCCCCGGCCGGCGCACCCGTTTCCTCCTCGGGGGTGGCCCGCCGCGAGCGAAGGGTCGCGTCTGGGTTGGGGGGGTCTGCGCCAGCTTCCGACCAACGAGCACCCCGCGGGAAAGGGACCCGCGCCGCGATCGGAGGAGGAGGAGGAGGAGGAGGAGGAGGAGGAGGAGGAGGAGGAGGAGGAGGAGGAGCAGGAAGGACTGCCAGAGCCGCTTGTGGAGGCTGCGACAGTACGAGCTCACGAAGGTGGAGGCCGCCATCAATCAGGCCACCCGAGCCGCCAGCCCTCCCTCCTCGCGCCTACCCTCCGCATCCCCTGCCCCCCCTCCTCCCCCTCCGCTTTCCTCCGCCTCCCTTTTCCCCCCTCCTCCCCCTCCGCCTCCCCTCCGCCCCCCCCCCCCTTGTCCTTTCGCCTCCCTCAGCCTCTCGCCGCCTCCTCCCCTTCGCCTCCCCTCGCCCCCCCCGTCCTCCCCCTGCCTTTCTCCCCCCCCCCGCGCTCCTGCTCCCCCTGTTCCACGCTCCCGCTCCTCCAGACAGGGCCGGGCAGGGGAGGAGGGGAGGGAAGGATGGAGGAACACGGCGAGGGGCAAGACGGCGAGCAGCTCGCAGGCGGGGGCCCAGGCGCCCCGCTTTCCCCGCACGCCGCGCCGCGGCCGCGGCCTCGGCCTCGGCTCGGCTCGTGCCGCCCGCCGCAGGCCCGGCGCGGCGGAGCTGACGTCTGCGCGCCGGCCTGCAGCCAGGGGCAGGTTCGACAGCCGCGACCGTGCTGCTGGCGGGTGCGGTGCCAGCGGGTTGTCCCGTGCGCTTGTCCCGCGTGGGTGTCGGGCCGGACGAGAGGGGGGGATTGGGAAAGGGGGGGTACGAAATTAATTAGCTGCACGCAGCCGGTTTCGGCCCCACCGAGGAGCCCATTCCTCGATACAGAAGCGCCTCTGGCGCCGGAAGGCGCCGGGAAAATCAGCTACGTGAGCTGATTCTCACCCCCCCCCTTTGCTATCCCCCCCTTTCGCCCGACCCGAGGGTGGCTGTCAGACAGTAGCGTGCTTGGAGTCGCTACGGTCGGGGGAGCTTTTGGGTTGCGCGTCGCTCCGCCCGTCCTGGCCCACCACGCTTCGGCGCGACACGCGATCCACTTCCAAGTCCCCAGTCTTCAGCGTCCCCAGCTTTTCCGAGCCTCCTTCCCCGCGGAGCGGAGCCACACGCTATCCGCTTGCAGGGCATCGCGTGTCGCTGGGGCCGCAGCGGCGACACGCTAAACAAACGATTCTGGCCGTAGCTGTATCGTTCGCTATACCTACCATCGGCGGAGCAGACAGCCCAGTGGGCTGCATCGGCAGGTAGATCGTCGTATGGCTTTGCCCGTGTTCAGACCGCCCCTGCTTAGGTCGGTAGACACAACTAGATCATGATATTACTCAGTCGGTATGCAATCAGTCCTGTAGTTATCTAGTACGGTAGATCGACCACGCGCTGAAAAACATGTTTGCACATGAGTCGCTTCCTAGTTTAGTTGACACGTAGGTCGCCAGTGGTATCGCCAGCCATCGGTGCACTGTTATTTGTAGCATGAACGTTACTGCCCCCGTGGACTCGACCATCAGATCGCCGGATCGCTAGTTAACGGGTGAGTGGAAAATCCGGTGGACGTTGAGACCCTGTACAACATAGATATACCGTTGCTCGGAGATGCAGAGATCAGACGTGAGGCCATGGCAAACCGAACACTGCATTCACCCCTCCACACCTCCTTGTCACCAGAAGGGTGGTCTTGGTTATGAGCCGGTTTTGCACGGCATGTTGCTTCTAGCCTCCGCGATTGCAGTGCCCAGGTTCGAGAGGGGAGGGCCATATCTAGAGCGAGACGAGCAGGTGAATCCAAGGGGTTGTACGCGGGGCATGTCACAGAGGCCCGGAGCCCGCCCTGACCGTGGGATCCCAGTTCGGACATCAGAGTCGCAGTGAGGACCGTGAACGCCGGGCCTCGCGGCTTGCTATCGCGATGTTGAGTTGCGCTTCGAGCGGAGATGGTGCAGGCAAGCGCGCGTTACGGACTGCAGTCGCTCGCGCCACGGTGCACCTCGAAAGCTTACGGTTTCTGACCCTCCGCCTCATCTTCCTCTTCCTCCTCCCCTCCGCCTCTCCTTCCCCCATCCCTCCCCCTCCCCACCTCCCCCTTGGGGATTCGAATCGATCGCTTCGATCCGAGACAGCCCATCAAGTTCGGCCGCCGCGCTCCGGTCTGGCCCGCCTGGATGACTCGAGTGGCTCCCCTTGATCTGCGACAGCGGGCGGCCCGTGCTCGGCCGCGAGAAGCCGAGGCTGGGGGGAGGCGCGCCCTGCGATGGCCCGTCCCCTCGAGGCCTGCGAGGTCGGCGGAGAGCGGGGGGGGCGCGGTGCCGACCTTTGGGGGCGAGGGCGGCACGAGGGCAGACGAGCGGAGGGAGAGAGGAGGTGGGCTCCGCCCTGGTCCCTCCGCGTGCTCCGGCTGGCGCAGGTCCTCCTCCCCCCCCACTCGGCGGCGAGCGAGGGGGGGAAGTGAGAAGGAGAGGGTCTTCGCGGAAGCCGGCGGGGCCTCTCAGAAGCCCTCGCGCTTTCTGAGGGGTGTTCTGCGTCTTCGGGGGAGGCTACGAAGCAACTTCTCGGTAGGCCGGGGGACTTCCGAGCCTTCTGAGAAGGCCCGCCGCTTCTCATTTCCCCCCGGGTTCGCCGCCGACCCACTTCCTCCCGTTGCGAGAAAAAACTATGTCGGGAGGTGTTCGAACATTTTCTGCCGCTGGGGCCCAGGCCCCAGGATCGTCAAAAAGCGATGTACGATGAAAAGCCAGTCCCAGGGCCGTGAGGGCGAAGACGAGGAAGGCAGAAGAGGAGGAGGAGAAGGAGGAGGAGGAGGAGGAAGAGGAGGAGGAGGACGAGGAGGAGGAGGAGGAGGAGGAGGAAGAGGAGAAGAGGAGAAGAGGAGAGAAGAGGAGGAGGAGGAAAGGAGGAGGAGGAGAGTAGGAGGAGAGAGAAGAGGAGGGGGAGGTTTGGAGGAGGAGGTTAGGACGAGGAGGAGGAGAGGAGGAGGAGGAGGAGGGAGGAGGAGGAGGCAGGAGGTGGCGACGGGAGCAATGCGCACCGAGGCCAGGGGGGTCCTCGGCTGGCAGTTGGGTTGTGTCCGGGTGCAGCGGGCGACCGCCTGCGGGGCTGCGTGTCGTTTGCCTCGGCTCTGACGTGCTCGCCCCTTCGCCGTGAGAAGCCATCCGGTGCCTCCATAAGAAGTGCCAGATCAGTCAGCTCCTCCCGCATCCTCCTTCCTCCTCCTCTATCTCCCTCCCCTCCCTCCTCCCCTCCTCTCTCCTCTCCTCCTCCTCCTCCCCTCCCCTTCCTCTCCTCCTCCTCCGCCTCCTCCTCTCCCTCCTCTCCTTCCTCTCTCCTCCCCCTCCCCCTCCTCCTCCTCCTCCCTCCTCCTGAACTTGTCCTCGGCGTTCATGTGCAGCCCTCCCCCCCTTGCGCGAATTAGCCAATTTTTATTAATTTGGATTGGGGTCTTTTCAGGTGCTCGGGCGCTGGCTGTGCTGGTTCTCTGGAGGTGTAGCCATGCGAATTCCTCGCCTGATCCCGCTTTTCTCCCTCTCCTTTCCTGCTCCTTGCCGCCGACGGCTGCGCGCGGTCCGACGAGTGTGGTCTGATGGCTCACACCACGCAGCTGCGCCCCCATCTCCTCCGCCTTTGTTCCTCCCACAGACATGCGACGTCCTGATTTTTTCAGTGCGGCGTCCCCCGAAGTTCCGACCCTTTCCCCGGGACCGGTTTTCCATTTTGCGTCGACTGTTAACGGTCCCGGGTCCCGGCCAGGGTCTCCGGAGGCCGAAAACGGCGAAGAAACCTTCGTCCTAAATTTTTTACGGCGCGAGCATGTCTGCGCCTTGCTCCAGCCCCTTCCTCTCCTCCCTCCCCCCCCCCTTCCAATTTACCTAACAGCGAAGACTGATAGGTTTCTAGTGGGGTCAAAAGAGAGCAGCAGATGACTCCACAGGGGGGTCCGGGCGGCATCCGGGGAGCTGAGTCCGAATTCGTTTTTCGCAAACCGTCACGCACTTCGTGCTCTTCGACCTTCCAGAACTCCACTCCCGGCCCACATTCTGAATGCCCGGAGCCAACTGTAGGCCACTTCGTGCTCTTCGACTTCCCAGAACTCCATTCCCGGGCCACATTTTGAATGCCCGGAGCCAACTGTAGGCCACTTCGTGATATTTGACTTCCCGGAACTCCATTCCCGGGCCACATTTTGAATGCCCGGAGCCAACTGTAGGCCACTTCGTGCTCTTCGATTTCCCAAAACTCAATTCCCGGGCGACATTTTGAATGCCCGGAGCCAACTGTAGGCCACTTCGTGTTCTTCTAGTTCCCAGAACTCCATTCCCGGCCACATTTTGAATGCCCGAAGCCACCTGTACGCCACTTCGTGCTCTTCGACTTCCCAGAACGCCACTCCCGGGCTACATTTTGAATGCCCGGAGCCAACTGTTGGCCACATCGTGCAGCAGGACGAGGAGGACAAGGACCAGCGTCTCGTTTAGACTTCAATAAGTTGATACAAACATTTCATTTGGAGATTCACTTTTCGAAAACGATGAGTCGTTCGACAGTCCACTCATTGATAGCAGTGTCTCGTTCGAAGATGGGCTGATTGATCGAAGTGTCTCGTTTGTACAACTCTTGCTAATAGTGTTTCTAATGCTAGTTCTCGTTCACTGCACCCACTACAACTATTACTTCACTGTTACCACTACTGCCGTCACTGCTACTTTTACTGCTACTACTACTGTTGCTGTTGCTGCTGCTGCTGCTGCTCCTGTAGGTATTGCTACTGCAACTACTGACAATGCCATTGCGACTGCGACTGGGACTGATGTTGCCACTGCGACTGCAATTGCGAATCCGAATGCGACTGCGAGAACAAACAAATTTTTACACCAACACTCCTACATGAATACCATAGGCAATGCTTCCAGCTATGCTTTTACACATCGCTGTTAGGTTGATTTGCCGGGATAATTTTCCTAGGAGGCGGTGTGTCCTGTCGCCAGTGCCCAGGTGGACTGTGGCCCTCCACCTTGGCACAGAACATTTCCCCTGAGGGACACACCCCTCGGCCCCTGGCCGCCACGCCTAACCCCAGTGGACATTTGAGCCAAAGTTGCACGCATGCTGGGGTTTTGGATGGGCGAGGAGGTGGAGGAGGAGGAGGAGGAGGAGGAGGAGGAGGAGGAGGAGGAGGAGGAGGA